ATCCCCCAGTGACTAACATCCCCACATGTGACCCGTGTGCTGGTTCCCAATGGAGCGCTGCTCTGGCTTTGCCTCCTATGGACACAGAGAGGAAGCAGGTCCATTTTCAGCATCCCTTGGGACACAGTGTAACCAAATATGCTGCAGGGGGTCTCAGCGTTCTGCCCTGCCCACAGCACACAGAGTGCAAATGTACAGATATGTTGGAAGTGCTAACATCCCCACATGTGACCCGTGTGCTGGTTCCCAATGGAGCGCTGCTCTGGCTTTGCCTCCTATGGACACAGAGAGGAAGCAGGTCCATTTTCAGCATCCCTTGGGACACAGTGTAACCAAATATGCTGCAGGGGGTCTCAGCGTTCTGCCCTGCCCACAGCACACAGAGTGCAAATGTACAGATATGTTGGAAGTGGTCAAAACACCTGACTGCACTCACAAAGCATGGGGTTTTTTTTGGTGCAAAAAAGAAACATTTTTTGATGAAAAATTGAATTGAAAAAATTGAAATTTTGAAGATATGTGCCAACTTTAAAAATGTAGTCAGCCCTGAACACAACATACGTGTGCACACACTCACCTGAGGTAGGGAAGAAGCTAAAATCTAGACAGCAGCAGCAAATGGAGATGCACAGGCTATCTCAGACTGGTTCCAGATGCTTCCTCCCATTTTCCAGGCAGATAATCAGATTTTGTACCAATTCCACCACCCAGAATAAGGTCCGGCTCCCAATTTGGGATGGGGGCATGCATTGTTCCTTTTATTACATCTGTGATAGGTGAATCACTGCAGCCCAGCCCCTGTAGGTAACATTGGGAGAAGCCCCCAGAGGAAGGCGTGGCCATGGGTTCTGGATCATGGCACAAGAGGTCAGGGGCTCCAGCCCAGAGAGGGGCTAGCTTGCTGTCTGCGAGATGCTCCTAGTGTCTGGGAATCCTCTCCTTCTACTCAAGCGGTGTCCTGCCCCTCCTGTGGGGCGTACCGTGCAGCTGGACAGCACGGAGTGCTCTGCATTGCTGTCCACCCTGCCTCAGAGCTGCCTGCCCCAAGTTAGCACTGGTTCTGCCCTCATCGTCTCGCCTTCTGGATTTAAAGCTGGCCCTTTAAGTCATGAATGGAAGCCAGCACAGCCAGCGCGAGTGTCCCACACCCCTGACAGAAGCCATTTTGAATGAAGAGGCTTTGATCACATGAGGCAGCAAGTGACTGCAGAAAGCCAGTGGCTGGCTGGGTTCTGCATGCCCTAGCCCCAGAGATGCAGGAGTAATGGGGCTCCTTGGAGGGAGCCTGCATGCAAGCCTGGATGGAGCCACTAGCAACCCCTTTCCTAGTCTAGTCATGCCTCTGTTATCATGCTTTCACCTAGCTTGGGGCTGGGGGAGGGTGAATCCACAGGATCAAAGTCCATCGGTTTCTGTCTGCAGGGACAGCCAGTGAGGGGGGATTTTCAGGTGAGGCTCTGCAGCTTTCCCAGAAAGCACCTTGTTCGGAAAAGGGGCCTACAATCCCAGTGCCAGGAATGCATGCCAGCACAGCCCAGGGACAGGGTGCTCTGCCAGTCTCCTCTGAGCCTCTGTTTGCCAAATACGCTCCTGCTGGGCTATGTGTTAGTGCTTCCCTTTGGTGCCATCTGTGCCACCTGGGACCGGGGCACTTGGGATCTGGGGACTGTGGAGGGTGCTGCATGCTGTTCTCTTTTGCTGCGTTGGATGCTTTCTTTTGCAGTGGCTAATGACTGATCTGAGGTCTGTTCACACACAGTCCCCTGTGTGGCTGGGGGGGCAAGGAAGAAGGGGGGGGCCGTAGCCAGTGGCGCCAGGTAGGACATGGGGTGGTCCGCACGCTGTAGCATGAGGATGCAGCTGGCAGGTGCACATGGGGTGGCCAGGCTCTCAGAAGGCAACACAAGGCCTAGGCACTGCTTGGGACTGACCACGGCCTGGCAAAGGCCTGAGGAGAGTCCCATAATGGCGAGAAATGCCCGCTGAGTGACCCAGGGTGATGGGTAGCCCTTCCCACAGAGGCAAAAGCCTGAGGCAAAGCACTTCCCAGCATGAGGAGATGGACTCCCCTTTATTCAGCTCTGGTGAGGCCACACCTGGAGTATTGCATCCTGTTCTGGGTCCCCCACTACAAAAAGGATGTGAACACATTGGAGAGGGTCCAGCGCAGGGCAACCAAAATGCTGAGGGGGCTGGAGCACACGACCTACGAAGAGAAGCTTTGGGTTTGTTTAGTCTGCAGAAGCGAAGAGTGAGGGGGGATTTGATAGCAGCCTTCAACTTCCTGAAGGGGGGTTCCAAAGAGGATGGAGGGAGGCTGTTCTCAGTGGGGGCAGATGCAGAACAAGGAGCAATGGTCTCAAGTTACAGTGGGGGAGGTCTAGGTTGAATATGAGGAAAAACTGTTTCCCTAGGCGGGTTGTGAAGCACTGGAATGGGTTCCCTAGGGAGATGGTGGAATCTCCATCCCTAGAGGTTTCTAAGACTTGGCTTAACAAAACCCTGGCTAGGTTGATTGAGTTGGGCAGGGGGCTGGACTCGATGACCCCCTGAGGTCTCTTCCAGCCCTAGGATTCTAGGATTCTATGATGTGTAGGGTGGGGCTGCACTTCCCAAACGCCCGTCAGCCTGGCAGCTTAACTGTAAGCCACCTGGCTGCACTGAGGCCCTTATAAGCTGCCCCTTTAATATATCAGGTGGTCTGGGGGTACCACTGTGAGGGGCAAATAAGGGTGAACTGCTCAGAACCAGAGCTGCCTACAGCCCAAAACTGGGGTCCTTCTCTACCAAACCAGTCACACAGAGCACTTCAGCTGCCACCCTGGTCAGCAAGGAGTCACACATGTAATCCCCTCAGACACTACAGCTTTACCTGGGCCACAACCAGCACCACACCTTACACAGGTGAGAGGTTATAAACCCATCTCGCCAACTCCGAACTGGCTCTCCCAGTCCCAAAGGACCAGTCACAGTCCCAGGTCAATTTATACCTCGGATCCTACCCAAAAGAGCACACTGGGCCAGTCCTTTAGCATCTAACATCTAAAGGTTTATTAATAAAAGAGAGAAAAGGCTGAGAGTAGGATAGAAAACACATTCCACACATCAATCCCCAAGTGCTTGATGAAGGCTTTTAGCAGAGGTGTCACAAACTGCCAACTTAAAAATCTCTGGAGTGCATCTTACGTCAGGATGGGTCAGAAATGCTTCCAGGCCCTCTGCTTCTGGAGCGGAGGGCAGGAGTGAAGACAAAGATGGAGGCACCCCCAGGATCCTTTTATACTGTTGCCCGTGCAGAGGGAAGTGCATTGTTCTCCTGTGCGAAGGTACCTCCCAAAATGGAGACGATCACATGATCAGCTAACCTGCCCATGTTCTTTTTAGGCCAGGGGCCAGTGTGTACTCCTCAGGTGCTTATTGGGAACACATAAGAGCCAGTGTCCATGCAGCAGAGCTATTCACTGTGTCGCCACCACTCACAATAGGAGGTTGGCACCTACTGCTGTCTCCTAGGCAGAACACATTTAAAATACAAGCACAGAGCCCACATTCATAACTTTACATACGAAAATCATACATGCCTATGAGTAGCATAAATGGAATCAACAGAGCGTACGCTGTGACTAGACACCTCATTTGGCCCCCGTGGCCCAAAATTTGGGACAAACACACAACTGGGGGTGCAGCAATGATCTGCATTTTCCTATTAAAACCCAATAATCATACACCCCTGTCCAGCCTTTTTCCTAGGCTTGCTCTGAGCAGGCCTCGAAGTCTGGACAGGGCTGAGCATGGGGCTGGGCCACATCAGCATCTCTCAGCTCTGCAGCCTCTCAGGGTCACTCCCCTTTGCAGCCTGGACCATCTCTGCCACCTGATTCTGAAGCTCCTGGGGCCTGCCTTGGGGTGCCGAGAGTCATGAGCTGCCCCGGAAAGCTCTCTGAGGGTGGTGTAGGCCAGAGAAAGCCGGGACTCTGCTGCAGAGGGTGGCCTGATACTGCACAGACAGGGAGGAAGTAGCAGGGCAACTAACAGCTTATTTGCCTTCTTTGCAGAGACGCCATCTGCCTGAGGGACGCTCCGTCTAGTTCCCCAGCAGGATTCAAGAGTCCTGGTGAGCCGATGGACACACCATGGAGGTGCCCTGGAAAGGAAGGGGTTGGAGTGAGTCCTAGCACCTCTGACTAGCACCATAGGAAGCTGGTTCCTGTTCTTTGCCGTACATCCCTAGGAGCCAGTGGGGCTCCCGAGAGGGTCACACTGACTGGGAGGCCATGAGGCAGTCTGCAGGGGGCTGCGGGAGCAGCGTGGACTGGACACGGCTGCGGATGTGTCCTAATGCTGACACCTGGAAGATGTGAGACCGGCAAGCGCCACATGCTGGCCTGTGTGTGTAGATTGCCCGACGAGCAGAGGCTCAAGTGCACAGAGGTAGATGGCTTGCAGTGGGAGAGGGCTGCGGGCCAGAGCATGGCTAAGGCTAGCTCTGCGTCAGCTGGGCTTGCTTGTCATGGTCTCTCTGTGAGCCAGGGCACATGCTGTGTCGATGCTGCATCTCTGCCACAGCAAACCCTGGGGAACGTTTTAGACACTTACAAATTGGGGTGAGGCCAAAGCACTTCCTGCTTGTCTGAAACCTTCCCCTGGAAAGAGGACAGATGGCCACTGGGGTTAGCGTTGGTGCAGGCTACTTCATTTGCCTGGTCTGTGTTAATGATGGTGCTTAGCCTTTCTGGCTTGCCCAAGGTGCTCTCCAAACCCAAGTGATGTGCCGTGCACATGTGTGTGTGTGAACCGAGGTGCCAGCTGGCCATGGGGGTAGCTCTGGAAATTATGAATGGGAAACGGTGGAGGTGCTTAAGAAAGAAGTTCACCCTACTGACCCTTGGTCACTGGCTCCTACTGGGACTTCTCTGCTTCAGGGAATGGTGCTTAGCGAGGTAGCAGTGGAGGGGGCCTCGGCATTTCCCTGAGCCCCTGGTGATTGTGTGCATGATCTCCTCATGTCAGCATGATAGCTAGGGGCCCGAGGGAGCCTGGGTGGCCCTGCTACTGTGGCGGGGCTTTTCTCTGCCTTGCCCATCCCGCACATCTGGTCTCAAGGATTGTGCTCTCAGGGGGATTGGTTTGTCCCCAATGCCTGCCTGAGGGATGTGTTTAAAAACCAGGAATAATGTGGAGCACCCAGGAGGGAATGCTGCCTCCCAGAGCTCCCGAGCCACATTCCCCCTCACCATGCTAAGCAAGCACCGCCTTCTCCTGGTAAATGGAACGACTTTCCTGCTCCAGGAGATGGGTGGAACATGCCCCAGCCAAGTCAGGGAGCAGCCTCTGCAGGTGGGGCGTTGTGGTGGGACTTGCATGTGTAATTCTTTGAGCAAGATTAGATGCAGGTGTGGTCCTGTTCAGTGAGGTGCTCTCTGAGGAGTGAACATGGAGGGCCTCATGCCAGGGAGCTTGCATCGGGCTCATTTGATTGTACCCCTGTGTGGCAGCAGCACTTTGCTTCCCATCCCTGAGATATTCCTTAGAGCACTCAACATCATCTCATCTGAGGAAGTGGGTTTTGCCCATGGAAGCTCATGATTCTATATATTTTGGTTAGTCTCTCAGGTGCCACTGGACTGCTCACTGTTTTTAAAGTTACTGCCTAACAAGGCTACCCCTCTGAGATCCTCTGTGCATGTGACAGCTGGAGCCCACCTTAGCTGGGAACTTTCCGTTTCTGCTTCACAGCTACAGTTAGCCTCTTCCGGTTGTTCCCTGCGCATGTTGCAGATACTCTCCAGCCAAGGTCTCCTCAATACATGGAGGCCGCTGTCAGGCTGTAGGGGAGAGCCAAAAGCAAGATCTCCACTTTTCTTTGCAGTTCCCTGCTTATGACAGAAGCATCTCTGACCCGGACAGAAATATTTTTGTGTCTCCCATAGTCCAGCTGCAGCTGATGTGCTGCAACCTAATGGCTTTTGTCCCGGTCATCAGCTTAGTGCAGTTTCACAGCGTTCTCCTAACCCTGCTTCCCATTTCCTTTCTCTGCTTCTTCCTGCCCTCTGCAGCTCAGTGGAGCAGACGCATTTTGCTCAGTTGGGCTGGCCAGCTAAACAGCTTGGCCTCTGTGGGCCCGTCTACATTGCCTGTGGCACTGAGCCTCTGAGACCAAGGCAACCAGCTCCTGCTGCTGTGCAGAACACAGCTGTGCTGCTGTTGTGGCATGGGTGCTGAAGTGTTAAGCTGCAGCCTGAGATACCACCTCCATGCCCTGACTAGACAGCTATCCTGAGGGTGCTAGTGCAAGGCCCAGCAAACCAGGCTAGTGGCTCCCCAGCCTGACTCTTGCCTGCCCTCGAGCGGTGGGTGTGACCCCTCCCATCAAGTGCAAGTGAGGGGAACATGCTGGCTCGGTAGCCACACAGACATGTTCTGCACAGGCATGCATAGCAGCTGGCAGTACCAAGTGTGCACCTAGGGCAGGACGGTGCTATGTGGAGCTGCCCCTGGCCTACGACAGCAGTGCAGGCTACCACGCAAGGAGGAACATCCCTCACCCGCAAATGGGACTAACTGGTTTACGATTGCTACTCATACACTGTGCATGCCTATTAGTGTGCAAAGTTATTAACATGCTAACCCAGGAAGACCTCCCTGCTCTCACAGAATCTGCTCCCACCCCAAAGTCCTGCTATTGACACTGGTATGTTGAGTAAGTCACTTGACAATGAACTAACTCACTAACTGGTGCTAACGCATGCTTTACTAACCGGTTTTGGTTCACTTTCTACTAACCGGGACCGCACACGTGGCCTTTAAAGGGGAATGGAAAAGCCGGGGTAAATACGCCTGCAAAGAAGCCATTCATCTTGCTGCACCTGCAACCGAATCTCTGTGCAGAGTCAAACCTTAGAAACACAGCGTGGGAATTTGTGGGGAGCTGCTCCCCTATGGACCTGCCAGGGCTGGAGTGCAGGATCTTGTCTTTCCCCAGCAGCACAGTAGTGCTCCAGGGACACTGGCATGCAGAGGTTTGCTGTGCTATCTGTGCTAGAACTCTCACAGAGTAAAGACAGAATCTGCTTTACTGGTCTTGGCAGGTAACTAGAGGAAGGGCTGGTTTTCCAGAGGCATTTCTGATTGTAATGCTGAAATCTGCATCTGGATTCTGCTGCTGACTAGGGATCCTAGAATGGTTTTAGTGACAAAAGCTTTTCAGTTCCCTTTTAAGTCACCAGATCTCTCTCTCCCCTGATACTAACACATTTCTGACTTGAATTAAACAAGCTAACCTTTTCTGCTTTTCTCTCCATTTCTCTTTCCTAGTATGTATGTTCTGCACCTGAACTAAGATACACTCTCTGATTGTGACATGTGGCACTTTACTAACTGCTTGAGCTAATCTCTTAGTTGTTTCTCTCTGCTACTAACATACATTCTTGGCTCTTTAACTTTCTGATGATGCTCTTCACCATGAGGAATGAACAGGCTTTACCCCACCCATGTAACAGATCCCTATGAATGCAACCCTCCTATATCATTCTGCTGGCCTTGTCTTCAGTGCTGCTGAATATGTTTAGCTCCCATTCAGTGCAATGAGAAAGGAAGACGCTCGGCAGTTTTGAATATTAGGCCATGCTTTTTCAATCCACTTTATGAGGCTCAGAGGAAACAATGTTCTTCCCAGGCTTTCTAATGCCACTCTCTGGTGGGTCACTTTGTAATGGGAACGTGCCAGAAGGCCCAGTGAAGCCAGTTAGCAGAGAGACCTGGTTAAACAGCAGTTACAGCGGCAATCCCCATCCGCATCGCAGACTCTTGAAGTGTGTGGGATGCTCATTCTTCTGTCATTGGGAACGGCCTTCACAATAGCCACAGTGCCTCTGATAGGCTGGAGCTTTTGGGCAGACATGGGGCATCCCCAGGATTCAGTTTCCTTGTATGGCCACAGTTTCCTTTTTGGCCATGATACACGTGGAAAGCAGCTGCTAACAGCGGGCATCGTAATATTTACATTAACCCGAGAGGTGAGAGGCAGGGAGAGGGACAGGCCTTTTTGTCTAGAGGGGAAATCTGCCCATTGAGATGGGTGTTTAATATATTTTATGATGTGCTCGCTTCGGGGCTAGTCGGGAGGTCTTTGTTCAGCTTTAACTCTGCCTGTAGAGGTTGCATTCCTGTTGCCTTCACAAGGAGTTTGCTAAACCAGGAATATCCTCTTACCTAACCATGCATCCCCTCACAGCGGCTTGTAGTAACAACAGCCCTAACAGGACTATCCTAACCCTGGCATGTCCTTTTAACTACACTTAGGAATCATTAAAAAAGGGATAGAGAATAAGACAGAATATCTTATTGTCCTTATATAAATCCATGGTACGCCCATATCTTGAATACTGAGTACAGATGTGGTCACCTCATCTCAAAAAAGATATTTTGGCACTGGAAAAGGTTCAGAGAAGAGCAACAAAAATGATGAGGGGTTTGGAACGGGTCCCATATGAGGAGAGATTAAAGAGACTGGGACTTTTCAGCTTAGAAAAGAGGAGACTACCGGAGGATATTATAGAGGTCTGACTGGTATGGAGAAAGTGAATAAGGAAAAGTTATTTACTTATTCCCATAACATAAGAACTAGGAGTCACCAAATTAAAGTAATAGGCAGCAGGTTTAAAACAAACAAAAGGAAGTTTTTCTTCACTCAGTGCACAGTCAACCTGTGGAACTCCTTGCCAGAGGATGTTGTGAAGACCAGGACTTTAACAGGGTTCAAATAAAAGCTAAATATAAATTCCTAGAGGATAGGTCTCTCAATGGCTGTTAGCCAGGTGTCCCTAGACCCTGTTTGTCAGAAGCTGGGATTGGGTGATAGGGGAAGGATCACTTAAAGATTCCTTGTTCTGGTCACTCCCTCGGGGGCACCTGGCATTGGCCACTGGTGGCAGACAGGACACTGGGCTGGATGGACCTTTGGTCTGGCCCAGTCTGGCTGTTCTTACTTTCTTATGTCCTTAAATACTGATGGCAAAGGCCCCGTACCCAGATCAGTCAGTGATAAGAGATGGATTGGGACTGTCTTGTCTGTAACCACCCAAAATGCTGTGCATGAAGCCTGCATGTCGGGGGGAGGGGTCCTTCTTGGTGCCTCAGTGAGGTTCCAGCGGGAAGAGCACAGTGACTCCAGGGCCGTGTGGGGAGCTCTTGAGAAAAGGAGCTGCGCAGGTGATGGGGTGTTCCCCTAGCCTGGGAGCAGTGCCTGTGGGCAGAGGTCAGAGAGCTCTGGAGGAAGGTGGCAAGTGTGAGGGAGGGTGCAGTGAGAACAAGGAGGGGGACTGGGCAGAGAGGAGAATGGATCCAGTCCGTGGGCAGAGTGGGAGCAGATGCAGTTCGTCACTAGGTTCCCAACCAGACTGTCCCTGTTCACTCTGCTGCTGGCTCCCTGGGCGGAGTGTGCTTGTTCTGTGCATCTCAGCATGGCCAAAGGCTAAACATGAGAGCCGCTCCTTGAGCCCCTCCTCTCGGCAGTTGGGCTGCAGTGCTCACAGCAGGAGAGCGTGTGCCCAGATGGACAGATAGGTGCACTTTGCAGCCAGGAGCAAACTCTTGGTCTCCAAGTGTGGGGCCAAGAGCAGCATTGCTCAAGTGTTTCCTAGAACTGGCCTGTCATTGGTCTGAACCTTTCCCTCACTTGTGCACACTAACCCTGAGACAGTCCGGTGCTAATCCCTTCTCTCTGCCTGGCTTGCTGTCTGACGACTAACAGCTGGTCTACTTTGAGCTGAGACGTGTAGCTGGACAAGGACCCTCAGCATGAATCAGTCTTTATGCAAGTTTATTGCCTCTTTCTGTAGACACCTCCCTGCCTTTCACCCGTGTGTGTTTCTGTACTAACCACCATGGCCAGTTCCCTGCAGTCTGCTATTAACTCACAGCTTGGGGTCCTGCAGTTAACCTGGCTGCCTCCTCTTGACTAGCATGCCAGGTCTGTAGGTGGCAGTGACGGGGTTGGGGTATTTTTCCCTGACATGATAACTAGTCAGGAGGCTGTCAGGCTCTTTCTACT